ATATATATATATATATATATATTATATAGAGGCTATATAATACTTGTACTCTATATTGTCCACTAGACTTAAAAACGGGTGAGGAAAATCAACTATCATAAGCAAATCAACTAGACCTACTATATTTTTTGTGTTTTATTTAATTTTAAATATGCCTACTGTTAATGATTTATTGTTATTATTGTTATACGATGGTACAGTGGCTACTAGTTTGGCTTTGTCCCAATGTACACAGTGTTGTTGACTGGAAGTGCATGACTATAGACGATTTTTGTTGTTCCCCTCTCCTGGCATGACCTTGGTGTTCCTTGAGCCTGGTACGGAGATCTCATCCTGTTTTACCAACCTCCCCACATTTGCACGGAATCCGATAAACTCCTGGTTGACTCTGTGTTGGTGGTTTATCCTTGTGTGTTTGTAGAGTCCGGGATAGTTTGTGGGGTGCGCTACTGTATGAAAGAATTAGTTTTCTTTTTATATAAAGTATTTACTTTATATATCCAGATATGTCATAACCAAATGGTATCATACCAAAAAAAAACGCTGTTCCTCAGGGATTCTGGAACCATTGAGGTATACTGAAACCAACATAGGCTTACTGAACTGAAACACAATCAAGAAAAGAAAGTGTACAAGGTCATTATTACCACAGATTGGCTACTCTGGGCTATTAGTAGAGTCATTTTCATGAGATCCGTGACTAATTTTAGGATAATTTTTTTCTCGATGGATTTGGCAAGCCACATAACTCCCAGATATGGGGGGAAAGTCCTGTTTGGGGGCGATTTTCAAAATGGCCGCCTGTTGATTTGGACGCTTGTATCTCGATAACCACTGGTCAGAGAGACTTGGATTTGGTCTCCAATTGTTCACAATATGCATGTTCCTATTTATTGTAATACAACTTTTTATCAAAAAATGGCAGGAAATGCGTTTTTGGAAACTTTGACCTTGTAATGTCATATCTTGGTAACTACTGGTCACAGAGACTCACAATTGATTGCAAAGTGGTCAGGAGATTCATGTTTATATTCGTCTTAATGAAAAAAATATTCAAATAATGATAGGAAACGGTACATTCTGACCTTTGCCCTATTGTAGGGTCATTCCATGTCAAATCAACCAGATTAAAAAAAATTTCTGTATGACTGTCTCAGATTTTCATGAAACTCCATAAAAATGATCCACTATATGCTAAACCAACAAAAAAAAATTAGCCTTATAGGATATATTGTTTCCGAGATATTACTACTACCGATTTTTAAAAATTGGAAATCAACATTATTTTATGCTAAGTTCTCAATCAAAATAATCTTTTTCGCCGTCAGAATGATGCGCTACCCTTAAGCCTCCGGCCACACACTCATAATATAATATTTAGGTAAACAAACAGCACCACCAGGTGTCAACTAGTGTTTTCAAGTCTTTGTACACTAGACACCGCAATATTATTTTTTGGCGCCTGGTGCAGTAGCCTATGGTAACTCGAGGCGTGCATGGTGTTGAGTCGCCTAGGATAGCCTAGGAGTAGTGTTAGATCACATGAGTCCACGATCTATCATCTGATCCTATTTTTATAGTTTTTCACAATGAGCAAAATAAAATCCAGGTGGAATAAACAAATTTAAAGACCAATGGACTGCAGACCACATTTGTATTAAGTAATCGAGGAAAGGTCAGTTTCATGCTTTGTGTGTGAGTTGCAGGACAGACTTTGAAACTTAGTGTGTTGACTTTTTTAAATGTATGAGTTTGACCAACTGAACATTTCCATCCTTTCCATTTTTTGTAACTCTAAAATCGATTATTTAAACCCTTAAATTTACTGAACTGTTATAGCTGCACCCCCTGGACCCCCTATTGTTAGGAGGGGGACACCCCTTCCCAAACCCACCCCCGCCTCGGGCTTCGCACTCGGATGGCGCTACGCGCCATTTTTTCAATAACTTCCTACCTCTTTTCTTCTTTTAAATGTTGGCAGGTATGCATATCCTATGAGGCTATTTTTTTTTTGTTGGTTTTTCATACAGTGGATCATTTTTATGAAGTTTCATCAAAATCTGAGACGGTCATACAGGAATTTCCAACTTTGGGGAGCCTTAAACCGTTTTCTTCCTAACTCTTTTTTATTATTACCAAAATAGAATTGAAAATTTAAGGAACTCAATCGTCCCCTAAGAGTTCTCTATTTCCTCCTTTTGATGAATAGCAATGATTGATAAGGACGATACATTTCATGATTTGTGCGACAAGGCCTAACTAAAATTAATCATTCCTCTACAGATCTATGTTGTGTAGCTCTTGGGATTGAAGATGGAACTATCCATTCCGACCAGCTGACAGCATCCAGTGAATTCAGGAGCAGCAAAAGTCTTGGGGCTGATCGAGGACGACTCAACACAGTATCAGATGAAGGAGGTTTCGGATGCTGGGCAGCAGCAACTAATGACCCAGATCAGTGGATTCAAGCTGATCTTGGTGCTATAAAAGGTGTGATTGGAGTAATAACACAGGGGCGCAGTGATGGTACTCAATGGGTCACATCATACAAAGTACAATACAGTACCGATGGTAGCGTCTTCTTACCAGTATTGGGATCGAGTGGTCAAGTTGAGGTATGTTGTTATGATCAATTTATATAAGACATTACGACGAGTATCATGAAATGCGGAAATGTGTGTTTATCATAATGTCACTACTTTTAGATTTTTAGTGCAAACTCAGATGCAAACACCGAGGTGAGAAACATATTCAGCTCTGTTGTCTGCGCTCAATTCATCCGTATCAATCCAATTACCTGGTATAGACACATCAGTTTAAGATTTGAGCTTCTTGGCACAGGTAAACCTTATCTAAGCATGCATTTATTGTAGTAAGTTAAGATAATGTACGTAATAATACACATTTCAACTATATCATCTAAAGTCTGATTATAACAACACCAACAGGTACCATAAATATTTTGTTATTACAAAAACCCAAAAAAGAAAGGGTGGGGGGTCCTCCCCCATGAAAAGTTTGATTCCTAGATTGCCGGAAATGAGCTTTTCCGACTTCTGAGGTGTCTTTTAATGACCTTTTAAGTTCTTCAAAATTCAAGGTTTTACCTCTCTTTAAAAAGGTCAGCTAATTTTATCTCATTCTTAGGCCTATACATAGAGAAAATAGAAAATAAAAGACATGCAATACAGACCTGTCAACCCATTTGCTGTAAGTCTTACGCATTCTAATCAAATTTGACGGTCTTACGTAAACACAGACAAAACTTGTGCTTATCCTAAAATTTGAGTAAATTTGGTTTCTTTTTCAATTTGTAACTAATATCCATAATCATAACATTCTACCTTCATGTTTCAATAACTATTGTATCTGAGATCATTATAAACTCACTAATATCGATTAGATATGCCATTTAAGCCAAAGTGACCCTGGCCAGGAACTCTTGGTGACCCACTGGCTCCCAGCCTCTGTTCTGCCTTGGCACTCATTATCTGTCACCCAATATACTCTTTGAAATTTCTCAAGTTTGACAGGTATGGCAATATAAATTATTATATTCCAACAATTGAGTAGTTGAATAAATAGTAGTCTTTCCTCCATGGATCGATAGGCCTGAAGAATGCACTTTCGTACATAAAATTAATTATTACGACATTGAACCAAACACAGTGTTTGTTAAATTTATTTAATTGAAGGCTAGTTGAGCTTGCCTAGTTTGTCTGATCTGCCAACCTATGCCTAGGAAGGTTAGCATGCCTTTTGTAAGCCAGGACTTCCAGTGAAAAAAATTTAAGATCAAACTTATGGAACGCCAAAAGGGCAACCTTGAACACTTCAACGATTATACAAACAGTACCAACGAATACACAGGCACTCCAATGAATGTACAAGCACTCCAATGAATATTGAAACACTCCAACGAATATAGANATAGAAACACTCCAACGAATGTACAAGCACTAACGAATATAGAAACACTCCAACGAATGTACAAGCACTAACGAATATAGAAACACTCCAACGAATATAGAAACACTCCAATGAATGTACAAGCACTCTAACGAATATAGAAACACTCCAACGAATTTGGTGAGATCGTGATGCCTGCCAAATTTTATAAATACCGTGCATCAGGTAGGCTATCCTAATTAATAGTCCATGGTCTTGGGCTACTACTCTGTACCTCAAGGATGCTGGTTAACATAACATGAAGTTTGCAAGCAAATAGTTTGGTTTTGAGGTTTGAGCATGGATGTATTTGACCCCCAGAATTGGGGATTACGCAACCATAATAGACAAATAACCTCCTACTAATGAAAAT